GGCAGGTGGTAGGTCTTGTGGGTGTTTGACAAAAATGAGACAAAAAGTTTACAGGGCACATTCCCAAGTCTCCCTCTTCCACCAAAGCAGCCCCAAATGTATTTCCTCGTGTGTGGAAGGTTCTTTCAGGGGGTGCCGTGGTTTCAGTGTTCTGTAAGTCACACATCCTGGTCCTCAAAGACTTCCAGGAAGAGCGGGGGAAAGAGTTCGTTGGGACACTCCACCTTCATATGCAGGAAGCGGCTGGCGTGGCAAGCTCCGATCATGCGCAGATCCGTCACCTTCATCAGCAGCTTGGGCCAGAAGTGGGGAATGCTGTGCTTGCGGTAGTTGATGTAGTGCTCGAATGCAAGCAGGTAGGCCTCTTGGCATTGCTCGATCTTCTCCACACTTGTCAGCCCTGAACGGTCTGGGGTGATAAAGACGAGAGGAAGAACTACATTTAGGTGTGTGAAACATTTCCACCTCATCTTGAAGCAGAAAGTGACTTTCCACAAGAGCAAAATATCTAGTTTATTTTTGTTTTAGGTATTGTGTGGGCATTTTTATGACTGCAGGTCCCCTGTTCTTACCTACTGTTTTACAAAAAAAGGGGATCCACTAAAAATCCCATAATAGGACCCGATCCAAAAGTGGGACCACTGAAAATCTTGGGGTGGCACACAACAATACACATTAATACAACGGGACCCCACCTAGACCTGATCAGACTGAAAATAATTTGGACCCAGATCAACCTCAAATCCCTGGAAATTCTTACTGGAGAAATCTGCAACATCTGTGTTTGTTGCATCACTTGTGGACAATACTGTGTATGTCCTTCCCTTTTTGAGATGAATGCTGTAAACATTCTTCACGGTGGGTCAGTGAAATGTATTTTTCCAGCGCAAAATCTGCAGTTAATATTCAGGATGACTATTTGCACTGAGAGCAAAGAGAGATGCAATCTTTCTTTATTTCCAGTTCAAAGAAACATGGGTGTAGCCATGTTCCACAGACAGCGGCTGTCTAGGAACTTGCGTTGGGCAGTGATGGGATTAAAGGCAGATTAGACAAGATTATTCTTATTCATATTGTTTAGGAGGGATGGGACTTCAGCTAAGACACTCTTCAAGATAAATGTGCCACTTTCTATCCCAGTGTGTTAAATTTGGTCAATGTGATCAGTTTTAAAATAATCAATAAAAATAATATACCATAGTTGTTTATCCTATGACCGACTTTTAAAAAGCAAAAGAATGTTTTGCTTACAATTTAAATAATTAAATTTGTGAGTAATGGTTTTTATTGTTGTAATAATCAGCAAAAAACAAACTTTAAAGTAGAATGACACTGGATGTTATTGATGATGTTCCTCCAGATCCACAGAATTCATTATAGAGCAGGCTGAGTAGCACTCAACATGAGTAGTAAAATGACCTGGATGTGTAAAACCGGCAGAGTTCTCCTCTGATGAGGCCAGACGCACAACTCCATGTAAAGACACATTTTGTTGTTTATGTGAATAGGTAAAAAGTGAATTCTGCAAACCAGTTAAGTGATCTGATTTCAGCCTCATCTTGTTGCATTATTTATGTGTTACTGAATATTTTATTTTGTTTTTGCCAGTATCTTTTATTCTAAGTAAGAGACTAAAGAAACTCACTAACTACACTAAAACAGCTATTATAATGTTGGGAACAACAGCAGAAATAATGGGAATCTGAATAATAAAACTAGGTTAGTTTAAATATTGAGATCTTTACACATCAAAAGTCTACACATGCAGCATAAGATAACATTACTTATTCCTCACCTGAGCTCATGAGCAGCACGGCCTGCATCAGAGCCACCTCCGAATCATCCAGGTTAAACTGAGCCAGGCTCTTGCCCAAATCAAAGATGGCGTCCGACACCACGCCCAACCCGCCGTTCTTCAGCTGCTCACGTTTCACGGCCATCTCGCCGTTCAGCGTCAGCGTCTCGCTCTCTGGGTCGTAGCGTACAGCAGCGCGCAGCGACATGATCTCCATGCAGCAGCCCTTCAGCAAGATGATCTGATCTTCACAAGGCAGCTGGGAAACACCGTAACAACATACGAGGTCATCAGGAAATATCAAGACAGGAAATGCCATGAACGTACTTTACAGAATCTGTTTTTTTTAAATTAATGAATGAACCAATTAAGTTAATATAAAGAATGGCAACATATTACTATTTGTTAATTTGTTATTTTTATGTTTAATTCACACACACACTTTTACTGTTCTATTAATTTTATTTTATTGTATTTATTTGAGGAACCATATGAATTGAATTCCCAACACACACACACTCGCTTACTTTTTCATTTTATTTTTTTAATTAGTAAATTACTTTTTAATAATTAAATTTTTCTTTTAACATACACAAACACACACTTTTACTGTTTTATTTATTTTTATTTAAGAACTATATCAAATGAATTGTTTTGTCGTATATTTTGGGGATGATTATTATTTGGTGTAATAACAGCCAGTAAGCAGCATGACAAAGGCAGCAGAAAGAGGAAGTATCCAATCAACAGACCTTGTTTAAGTTAACAAGCTTGTTAGTTGGTTAACAGATTTTAAAGAGAAGTGCTCACATGCCAGTAAAAATTCAAACAGAAGCTGCATCCAAAATCACAACCTACTTTACCAACCTAGTGCACTACTGTCTTTCATGAGTGTTCAAAGTTTCACAATAAAGTGCCTCAAAACTTAGCCCAATGGAACCACATCATGTTTAGTACTTTTAGCTGATTGATATGTACGTTGCAGATATGAGACATTAAACCTGTCAGTCATGCTAATATTAAAGGGAGAGTAAGTGATTATGCAGAAGGATTGTTGATATTTCAACTCAACTGCCAAACAAACACACCTCTCCCTTTAGTGCTCCCTCAGAAGCTCCGCCCCACCAAATTTAAATTCTCTGAGGATTCTCCAGCGTTCAAACGCCTTCTCCCTTTGCCTGGTCATCTAACTTTCTTCTCAATTTATACTCTTCAGACCTTTTCCTCTGGCTGTTTCTCGGTCATTTCTCCTTCTTCACAATACCTGGAGTCCAGCATGTTCCAATATGCTGGTGTATAGAACTCTCGGTAGCACTTATACAATAACTACACACTATAAAGCATTAGTTAAGCATTAGTAAATAAGGAATTTATAAAGCATTGTTCATACTTCAATACACATTAGTAAGTCATTCATAAACAGTTATAAATGTTTTATTCTTTATTATCTACACACTATGAAGCAGTTGTTAAGTATTAGTACATTTTTAATTCATCATTTATAAACCATTGATCTTACATTAATACATATTAGTAAGTCATTTATAAACATAGTTATACATGTATTCTTTATTAATAAGCCCATCTATAATGTGCTTAATAATTGTATTTTCATACTTTATACATGATCAGTTCACTATTTATAAATGAAGTATTATTTTTATGACAAACCATTTATATATGAGTTGTTAATGGTTCATAAGATCATTTGGAAAGTTTAAGAAAATTATTACATAACTGCCTGTTTTTTGATACTTTCCCGAGAAAGAATATAAATAATCTCATCATAACTCATAACTTTGATCAACTGCTAACTTGACATGACATGTAGTTATTTAGAAATGGTCTAATAGTGTGTGTTCATAGATGTTGTATGACACTTAATAATACTGCAATTCATGATTAATTCTGGTGGTTAGTAAAGTAATTTGTGTGAGCTCATCTAAAGTGAGGACTGTCTATGTCTCATTAACAATTTACAAATGAAATTTAAAGGCAATAGATATTCTCTAAACATTTGTTAATAAAGTATCTCATGATTAATTCAGGTAGTTACAAAGCATTTACTAATTGTTAATAAGTACTTTGTGTGAGCTCATCTAAAGTGAGGGCTGTCTATGCCTTACAAAGCATTTACAAATGATATTATAACACACAAGAATCATTTATCATCTGGACAGAAAAAGGAAACAGACACAACACAAAGGGATCCAGAACATATTATTTATTACATAATGCCTTTCACCCATTCATTCACCAAAAAACACAACAACACGAGAGACTATTGCTGCATAAACTGTAAAAATGTTGACATAAAATGAACCATCTACAACCCAACCCGTTCTCACTCCCAAGTCGTCACATATGGACCTATGGTCAAGACCCCATGTCACTTTATAACACACTTGGGAGCCCCTTAGCATCATAGTTCAACGTACTGGGGAAAGCCCTGTGGCATAGTTTTTAAATGCTAAAGACAGGTCTAGAATATTTAACACTAGTGTAGCACTTTAGCTAACTTACCAAGGGGGTCAGAAATAGACTGTGTGTGATTAAATAACAGTGGGCAGGTTTATTACAGAGATCTTAACACTCTCATAGTGCACCAACCATGTTTGAAACAATCCCCCGAATAAGAAGAGCTCTTTCATAAAAAATACAATTTGTGTCCAGTGTCTTTCAGTTATTTGTATCTCTACCTGGGCAGGATAATGAACGTGTGGTGGATCTTTCTTATCTGCCAGTGTCCTGTAATCTGATGTGTCAGTCCTGTTGAATGGGATCTGAAGCATCATCTCTGGGACTCGCTCGCCATCTGCATCCAGCGAAGAGTTGACCTCTAAGCTACAATCCAGGGTCTCAAAAACCAGGCTGCATGTATAGTGCAGAATAAATCAGATAAATCATCACAGTCAATGTTCTTCAAATAAGATCTCATCCCGTTTGTCAAAACTCAATATCATCACCCTGTTGTCCAGGGACTCTTCTTAAGTTTTACATTGGTATACCAAAGATTTACAACTTTACCAGGTAGCATTTAAGCAAGACATCACTACTATGAATTACTGAAATTTCACCATCTCTTAACATTATATTACATTAAATTACAACCAAAAAATACTGAACTGAGTTTACACATTTTTGTCAAGGAAATTATCTTTAACACGTATTATGATAAATACTGTAAATAAAAATACCTCTGAAGGTACTACATGTGCTTACACATCCAAAAGTACCTCCAGAGATTAGTTTGAAACCACAACACAACAAAATACTGTTGAACAGTTCACGACATCGTGTTCACAACATCCTCCGACTGCTTTAATTTACAGTAATATGGTTTTAACCCGCCCATTTAAGCTGCATCACGCTGCACTTTTAGCTCTCTCCTGAAGGTTACAAACTTTACTCACCGGAGTTTCCAGTGGGGACAAAACTCCTTCGCCAAATGACGGCATTCAAAAATCCGGAGTGATGGTGTTTTTACACTTAAGACCCGCTTCTGGGCCCATGTGATCCATAGACTTAAGGTGTGATCTCGTTTTCACCCGCTTCTCTCTGTTCTTCCTCGGTGAGATCTGGCGCTAAAGTGAGCGCACATGGCAGAGACTACTGGATGCGCCAAGGGTCAAAATAGCGCTGCTTTAAGGCCATATTTTTTTTATGTGGGCTACAGTCTATGGTAAGGAGGAGACATGGTTGAGAAGGGCGGCTTGACCAGAAACCATACTTTCACTTTTTTCCTGTGTTAAACACAAAGTCAATATTGAGTTTTTTTCTTCGGTTGCGCATGGAACGCAACTAACGTTCTGTTTCAAAACGTTAGTCACTAGTCTTATCTTGAAAGCGTAACCGGACGTTGCGTATTTATTTTTGCTAACTTGACCGCCGAGACGTCCAAAAACGACACGACATAGAGGTGTTAACCCAGGCCCTAATAAAGCTGAGACTTAAGAAGCCTAACTGAGACTTTTTTCATTCTCATTTGTAATGTTTTGTATGGCCTAGATTGTCCTTACTTTAGAGAGAACATACTTATTAAATAATTTCCTTAAACGTTCTATATGATCGTATGAACCATAGGCGCATATATATGGTTTTTCATTGGAATAACGCTTTTTATCAAATACAATCATTAAGCACATCATTGATGAGCTGGTAGTGTCTCAGAGAAACGGACCAGGCCTGTAACGGTGAGGGTTTTACCCTGTAAAGTTAGCTGGGGCATCTTTCGGGTAGTAGCATCCTTTGGGCTTTGCCACTGGTAGATTTACGAGTTATGCTGAGATTGTTTATATTCTTTCTCGGGAAAGTATCAAAAAACAGGCAGTTAACCTATGTCATCATTTTTAAAATTTTTTTCCAAATGACCTTATGAACCATTAACAACTCATATATAAATGGTTTGTCATAAAAATAATACTTCATTTATAAATAGTGAACCGATAATGTATAAAGTATGAAAATACAATTATTAAGCACATTATAGATGAGCTTATTAATAAAGAATACTACGTTTATAAATGACTTACTAATATGTATTAATGTAAGATCAATGGTTTATAAATGATGAATTAAAAATGTACTAATACTTAACAACTGCTTCATAGTGTGTAGATAATAAAGAATAAAACATTTATAACTGTGTTTATGAATGACTTACTAATGTGTATTGAAGTATGAACAATGCTGTATAAATGATGAATTCTTTATTTACCAATGCTTAACTAATGCTTTATAGTGTGTAGTTATTATAAAGTGCTACCGAACTCTCTCTCCCACTGCCACACCCTTCCCCAGTCGTTCCTATTAAATGAAGGAAATCTACCAGCCACCTGCATATTTTTCCAGCATTTGGCTGGTGCCTGCTGCTAATTTTGTAACCTGACCAATCATATCATACCAGGGTTAAAGGTAAAATCGGCTTGTTTAGCTTTGCTGAACACAATTATTCAGCCAATACCAGGCTCACAAAATCTTTTACAATTCACCATTCAGCTACACCCTCTTAAGTTATTGGCGTCACACCTCGCAAGTTTTCCATTCTTGCATCTTGACTGACAAAAGCAGGCTTCTTATTTTCTAACCGGCAACAGTAAATTTTGGCAGCTGAAATGACAGCTGTCACTGGCAGATTGTAACAGCTTTAGCTAGCTAATTAAGCTAATGTTAGCACTATAAGATGGTTGGAAAAGCTGTCTCCGGAGGCCACCCATGCCAAAAATATGAGCCCTAATCATACTGTGAGGCAGTCTGGAAGTAAGCATCCATAGGTTTTTTTTTAAACTACCACGTACTGATGATTACAACGAGTATTACTTCACAAGATTCTCCACGTTAGTCAAATTTACGCAAGGAGGCAGAAGGCTGCTCAACATGTAGCTTAAAAATACAACTTTATTCTCATAATATTATGACTTTATTCTCATCATCTCTGATTTTTTTTACTCCTCAATGTGGCCTGATATTCTGTCGTAGATGACAGACTGGAACCTGCAAATAGTAGTTATAGTGTTAAACACATTTAAAGACACACACAAGCCACCCACTGAACTTACCGCCGAGAACATGGGCAATTTCTTGGCAAAGTCGACGACACGCGTGATGGCGGGGGTCATGATCTTGGTGAACTCGCTGAAGGCTTCCAGGTCCACCTTATCTCCGTTGGAAGTGGGCACCATCGGACCCTGGCCGATATCATCCGACTAGAAACAAATCATCACACAGGTAAAGGAAACTTTCATTGCTGAAATGTCAGAAGCAAGTTTGATAAATTTACATTTACTAATTTGGCTTTTATCCAAAGCGACTTACATTTTACGAACAACATACAAGCATCAACAAAGCTTCAATACAGTAAGAGAACTACAACTGACAATACATACTAGTAAGAGCACTAATAAATACTAGTAAGAGCTAACAGCACATGTTGCATCGATGGGGTAAATACCTAGGGAAGGAAGTAAAAGTTAAAAAGTACAATCAATACAGGATATTTGGAAGGGGATAGAAGAAGAGCACAGGAAGTGCATGTTAGAGGTTAGGCGTTAGAGGTGTTGTAATAGAAACTGTTCTCAGAAGAGATGAGTCTTCAAGAGCTTCTTGAAGTTAGAGAGGGAGCCATGTGAGCAAATGATCGGCCCCAGTGAGGTGGTGTAAACGGAGAAGAGAAGGGGCCCTAGCGCTGGGCCTTGGGGCGCGCCTGTGGAAATGCAGTGGGAGGAAGATAATTGTCCTTGTCAGAAGACATTGTAGGAACGCCCTGAAAGGTAGGACTCGAACCACTGGAGTGCTTTGCCTGAGATGCCCATTAGTGAGAGTGCAGATGGCAGGATCCTGTGACTGACTGTGTCAAAGGCAGCTGATAGGTCAAACAGGATAAGAACCAAGGATTGGGCTGCAGCTTTAGCTGACTAAAACAGCACAACATCAGCACTGCAGTGACACCTTCACAACCTAAAGCCTCCAAAGTGTGGGAACATCGCACTTTTCACTCAGCCAAAAAGGTTGTTAACTGCAGCGTCTGCCAAGCTGAGCTTTCATGGAAACACCGGAGCATCTGAAGAGGAGGCATGTATTGTTGTTGCTCTGTGGATGATGAAGACTCGTCTCGTTAAGCTAGTTAGCTAGCTTCATGTTAAAAAGGTGGTATTATGCTCATTTTCAGGTTCAAAATCTTAATTAGGGGTTGTACCAGAACAGGTTTACATGGTACCATATTTTTCTCATATTGCACATTGCTGCAGTGACATAGTGTTCAATGCGACACACACACCAGCGATCCACACAGCTTTCTCTTTTTTAAGTTAAAACATTCCTCAGAATGTAAAGACAGATAAGCGGTATGAAAACCTTCCAGCTGTTTTCCTCTGCCGTTGTTGCTGCAGCGGTCTGTGTGACGGCGCAGCCTTCCCGCGCAGCCAGACCCGCGCAGCCTTCCCGCGCAGCCAGACCCGCGCAGCCTTCCCGCGCAGCCTTCCCGCGCAGCCACTTGCGGAGCTCCTCAAGTCCGGAAATATTCAAGCACATTTTTGTTCCGTCATCACTTCGCGTAAAACTGTCAATATTCAAAATCTACACAGCTGATTTGTCACCTCAAAACTTCTCAGAAGCGGATTTAGTGATGAAATTCCTTACGAAAACTGTAAAATATAAAACTTTCTGTTGCTGGCCTCTGTCTGGTGCAATGATGATGCAGTGCATAGTGAATATTCTCTCTGACCAATCAGCAGTCTGTCGTGTTTTCACGTTACATTTTAGTATCCCTCAGCTCGCTTGGAACCTGGAAGCAGGTACAGGTGCAACATTTCTACAATGGAAAACCAAACAAAGGGCCTCCGCTCAGACTAGCTTGGTTTGAGGGCGTGTCTGACCCCGCTAGCCGCTTGGCAAGCTTTATGAGGCGTTTTCATTGTGACGTCACAAGTAAAGGAAGTGAAGGGCTGGACTACAAATGAGCTGTTTTCAAGTGGTTCAGAGCAGAGCTTTCTGTGGGAGATGGGAACTCCCTTTGGGCTGGACTTTGGGCTTTTTCACTTTGCAAACCTGTTACATGCACAAAAAACAGATATAACTCAATGAAGGAGAGGGAAAAAGCCAAAAAGCCTAGTCATTTGATTGATTGTTAATGGCGCTGAGAGTAGCACATAATTATGATACACAACGGCCGCGTTCACATTCCAGATGTGCCCTGACTTTACATAAACGACGCATTGCTCATGGCGACTTTCCCAGCTGGAGAACATGCTGCTGCCGAGTGCGCAAGATTAAATAACACCGGACAATTTCATACTTTCTAAAGAAGAGAAAACAGTTCTTCTGTCTATGCGTGAGGCGGTGGCTAATCCACCCCAAACTCCCTTAAAAAAATCACAATTAGTTTTGTGAGTTGTTGAGTTAGGGAAAATATATAAAATATATAAACGTTGTGAAATTCCTTTCTTTGTATATAGTGTCCAGGTGTGTTGCAGTACTGGTGTGTAAACTGCTCCGTGTATTTTTGAACACACATGCCTAAAGCAACCTCAAGTTTAATTTAAAAGCGGATAGCTATATAAGACGCAATGCGTAATTTTGCGATTCATATCTGAATAGTCATTATTCGTTTCAATAATTGATAGATTAATCGATTACCAAAATAGTCATCAGTTGCAGCCCTAATTAAAACCAGACTTATATGGACCATGACCAGGAGGTCATTCCGTAAGAGGAATTCTTAGACTTATTTGAAGGCTGCCTGTTCGATAGCTTTGGATAAATGAAGACTATGAGCTGAGAATCTCTTTTAATTATCATACAATTAATTATTACATTCTTTACATTTTATAGTTTGTCCAAAGAGGTGGGACTAGCTAGCTAAGAGAAGAAAATCCTGACGTTATAAAAGCCTTACAGACTTGTAAGAGCACAAAATATCATAGACTCCACATAGCAACAGCCTGGAAACAATTTAAATGCCACTGGCCTTTAAAAGTAATAGTAGTAGATAACAAAGCAGAGTAAATTAGAGGTTAAAATTCCAGCCTGTACTTGAGGAAGACGTCATGTGAGTTTAACAGGGTCATGTGAAGACAATTAGATGAGCCGTGTTGCGGTACAATGTTGACAGTTTAGAAGGTGCAGCATACTATGCTACGATATGCTTATGCATCTAAATATTTTGTGATTTTGTAACAGCATAATCTACTTAGTCAATAAGACTAAAATAAAGTTGACAATGAAGTCTTAGGAGGTCAAGGTGTGATTGGATATACACAGAGGATCACTTATTTAAAGGCACATGGCATCTTTGAATCAAAGCAACGTATCTGTGCCACAGTGGATTTAGCATCAGGGGGAACTGAGGTAAGAAGTTACCTAACTGACTGGGGGAATGCCAACAGTGCACAGGTCTCCATTCATAGCTACCCAGCTGATCCCTATCCTGTTTTGATAAAATGGGAGCTTGAGAGCTATAACAGACAGGAAACAGCTTCAAGCAACACAATGACAGCAAGACTTTATTAATCACTAGAGGGAAACATTAAGTATAAAGAAGTGAATTTGCTGTAACAACAGATAGCTGCTGCGCTCTGATTGGCCATGCCTGCTGTATCACTTACTTTCTCCCAAATATGGAAATGTGCTCTTTTCTCTTGAGCATCCCTCTCTTCTCTGTTCACCTTGAACTGGCCGCCGCCACCCTCGGGCAATTTTTCGGCAGACTTTCAAAAACTGTATGCGACTATAAACCCATCTTTGCCTTCATGGAATGGTTGCCTGGTAACAGTCATCTGACCTCTGCCTTAAGGTAACCATCGGCAGTGTAGACACATGCATCTACACGTGGCACCGATCACATGGGACGCTACAGAGCGAGTTGCTGATGAAAAGGAGTGCAGTCAAAATAGTTTCTTTTGAAATTGAAAAGAAAGTTGCTTTCTTTCATGTGTTTGATTTTTGAAGTGGAAACCATGGCCGAACACTTTAAAATAATGAGCTATATAAAAGGAGGATTGAACTACTACGCAGATACTGCAAGTAATTAATAACATTAGTGATTTAGACACCCTATTAATAAAAATATGACTTTTCTTGGTGAAGTTTTTTGTTATGTTTTCATGTTGGACATTTTGCAAGATCTCAAAACCAAGTAATGGGTTGAACTTGCTGTGTATGTTCACAACACAATGCTTACGTTTCTGGTATGTAAATGTAAATAAATTTTGTAATGTATAATTTATGTAAAAAATCAGCCTGAATCATTTACAGAAAGGGTTTTCAAAATCTGACACAGAAGAAACTAGTGCAACATTAAAAAAGATATTTTTGGATTTTGACACTTACGTGACATTATTATTGGCCTATATTTATTTAAAGCACCATTAAAAGTAGGCTGAATTCGCAGTTCCTGTTTGCAATGTACCAGAGGCTGCACACACAATCCAATCCCTGGATTGCTTTGATGCTGAAGAAAACTTAAAAAATAGGATGATTCTCAGGCAAGAGTAATAACGAGCGTATTTTGAGTTTTTTGTATGAAGGTTTATTCATTTTTTTTTTTTTTTTTTTTAAACCTGTCCTGCCCAGCAGCCTGGTATAGAGTATAATGACCTGGATACCATATTGTGCCAGACAGATTTTACTTTAACAAGAGAGTATTAAAATACTCCTTTGTCTGTTTTATTATTTATTTAATTATGTATTGATTTGTCACCGGGCCGGACAGGGGGGCAGACACGGGGATGGGGGGGCACAAACAGACAGCACAGAGAAAGGACAACACCTGCAAGAGAAGGGGGAAAGGGGGATGGAGGGTGGGGACAACAGGGAAAAGCTGTGGGAAACACCAATTGCAGAAAGCAACGAAACCTGCAAGAGAACAGAGAGGGGGGCTTGGGGAGGAGAAAAACAACAACAAACAAACACAAACAAAAAAAACAATAAAAATAATAATAATAGTAAAAGAAAACCAGCCGAACAGCAGCAATAAACAGCTGACATATTAATGACATATTAAGACAACTAAGAGAACAATGAAAACAAGAAACAGTCACACACACTAAATAAGCAACACAACACAGCCACGAGAGCTGGAATAATAATTAATTTAAATAAGTAACTGAAAGAAAGGCATCAGGAATAATTCTACCAGGGACAACCTAAGTTTGTTTGTGTCTGTGTGGGTGAATGTGTCTGTATGTGTGTGTATGTACATGTGTGTGCG